TGACACATATATTAAAATAAAATAACCGTTGCGAATAAACTGCAAAAAACTGGTAATATCCTCTATATGACAAGAGCTCAACGACCATTTTTGTTTATTAAATTGTTTTTAATAAAGATCGATTTTACGCGTTAGTTGTGCCGGCAAATGAAAATCACGGTATTAAAAAGTTGTAGCGAAATGCATTGCAAGAGACACATTTTTCTATGGAAAATACACTGACAAGCGCATCGAAGTGAAATAACATTTGTAGTTGTAAATAATGCCGGGATTACGTTTGTGTTATAGTAGTCGGAAAAGGGGGATGCTCAAATGATTTTTGCGTTGTTGCGTTTTTTCAGATAAAATGAGCGGGATAGAAATGATTAATGCCACGAAACCAAGAACTTTCGTGAAATCAACCGCGTCGACGTAAAAGAAAGAACTCACGATGAATATTCTGGGACACACGTCGTAGGTATAGACAGACTCCGCGGGTATCTCATTGGCGATGTTTAATTCTAGCTCAACGAGCAAACACGAGGAATACGATTAATTGATGAGACGATGACACGTAACTGCGTGGACGCAAGCTATAGGTACGTGTGGCGCAACGTTCCATCGTGGTCAGTGCGTTCTGTTGACACGCGCGAACGCATCTCGCATAGAACGCGCGGATAATCAGATTGGAAAGTATCATCCGTTATATCGAGTTGTATTTGTTTATTTTCTATTTTTTTCCTGTTGTTTCTGCCAAACAGAGCAGTGCGATAAATTTTGCCTGCGCGACTGGAATGTCGATCGCCCGCCGTCGAGTGAACGTAATCGAATATTTGGACACGTCGCTATTAATCGGACTTCGCGTTTTAAATTTCGAGAATTTAATGGACCCTCTATTGCATAAGCTTTCCAATTTTTGCAAAAATTTCTGTACGTATGCGATTCTACATATTTAATGTTAAGTAATATTCTCTCTCTCTTTCTCTCTTTCTCTCTCTTTGTAAAGCGGAATATAATTTTTATCATTTATTCTTTGATCAAAATTGAATATTTTTGTACCATACTGATTTTGCATAAAAAGGATACGATTTTTAAATTAATAATGAAAAACATTAATGTTTAATGCTAACAATTCCAATAATGATAAAAAAAATCTGATAGACTATCAGGTTCCTTTTCTTTCTCTTTTTGATAGATAATATAATTACATCTTATATAGAGTGAGAAATAAGCAGAGATTCAATGATGATTTTTAGAGAAGAAAACGTATATGATCTAATGTATGTACTAAATACTTATAAACATCTAATTATAGTCCAGCTATAAATTGATATTCTCAAAAAGAAGCTGCTGTTGTCGGAAAGCCAGTTAATTAAGTATTGCCGATAAATCGTCTGATTTAATGGATAGAGAATATCGAAAATGTCAAGGCAATAAATGCGAATAGTTGATATATCGCGAACTGACTGGTTATAGAGTCAATTGTTAAAATCGTTTCGCTTCTATTAAGTAAATAATGACATTCCACTACAAAATGTCACGGTCCACTCGATCGTGTCATCGGCATGCCGTATTCAAGAAAATTGTTTCATTATCTGGCACGTGCTTGAAAATAACTCAGTTTGACGCAAGCAAATTCCGCCAGTGAATGCTAAATAAAGGACAGATGACAATACCGTGAATTAAATGATAAATCTACAGTTGAGCTGTTGTCCCCGTAAAAAATGTCTATATATATAATAAATAAACATTTTAAAATTATTAATTCGATGAATAGGAAATTATGTGCTAATAAATCTTATTTGATTAAATGAATTCGTATTGCCACATTAAATCCGTAACTTTTTTTTAAAATAAAATATTATACATAAAGCAAACTTTAAAGGAATTTATAATACAAAAGAATTAAGATAAGTAGTAATAAAGTTATATAAAATCTCGCTGGAAAATTGTGACGTATATATTAATTTTTTTTTGGCATGTGCGAATTTTACTGCATGTAATGCATCGACGATACGAAATGAAATAACAGATATGGGGAAAAGATTTTCAAAGGTCGAAAATTTCGGACTGACGTATTCCGGAAATTTCGCCCATCATTCACCGCGCGACAATACATTAGTGGAAAATTCAACGGACGGATTAAACGCGATCGCCGTGCATCTGGTCGATGTAATAACAGCGGGTTCGCGGTGGCGGCGATGCATTTGCGCCATGGAGAAAAGCGGCAAAATACTACGCGCGTTGAATAATTCAAGGCAAACGGAAGAGGGAGACAGGGGAAAGAGAAAGAGAGAAAGAGAGAGAGAGAGAAATAGAGAGAGAGGAGAGCCGCGTCTCGTATTTGTACAACTGATCGCTGAATATTTAGCGACGTGTTTATCCGAATCATGATCTCGCGTTTCGGGCCGCATCACGTTCGCTTTGGCGCACTGCGAATGCTGCCGACGAACTCGCTCGCGTTCGCCGGATTACCGCGCGTATAATATGTTAAACTTCTCGCAAGTTGCCATTTACTGGAGCTGAAAAGAGTCCAATGGCGCAAATGGAAGAGAAATAGGTACGCGAGGTGACGCTATTCTCTGCAGCTGTGGGACTTTTCAGCGGCGACCGCGCTCAAAACGGCGACCCCTTGAATCGCGCCATTTTGTATAAATATCTGTTTTTCAATCAGTACGTAAGTTATCATACATATTTAACAAATATTTATAAACAACGTATGTATACTGCTGAAATAAAATCCATGATCTATACTGAATTGTTTGGTTTAACTGGCGCGCACGCTTTAATATTTTCGAAAAATCATTGGGATGTTCGGATGTTGTTTCGTTTAAAACGCCGGAGGGGGGAGGTTTTAAAATCTGTCACTGGATGTTATGTGTAAGTCGCAGAAAAATATATTTTTGACTGTGTCATTACGCGACAACGCACGGCACTCTTCGCTATCGAAAATATTGGGGATGGATATCGATTTGGATTGCCGATAATGTCGCGTATGTTGGCGATCGTTCGGTCATAACGGTATGGGAAGCAGCAGTGTGTGTGTATGCGCGCGCTCTCGTCTCTTATCTTCTCTCTCTCTCTTCAACCTCTTCGCCCCACCTCTCCGTCGCATTCGGATATTAAAGTTTGTTCATCGTGATTTCATATTCAGGGTGTGCCTCTAGGCCAATGTTTGCGTCATTTTGGATTCCTCTTGCTAGCCGTCTCCCCTCTTCTTTCAGCTCCGGACCAACCCGGCAGTCAACCTCTCTCTGCACCCTTCGCTGTCACACAGGTCCTTTCAGTCGTGAAGTCGCCGGATTCGCGAGACGAAGAAGGGGAATTGTCCTTTGATTTCGCTGGCGATTTAACCGCACTGTCAGACTCTTTGAAGAATCGACTGTTCTGTAGAGTTATTAAGCGATCTATTTATCAACCCCCCCCCCCCCGGAAATAATCCCCGCGGCGACGCGAATAGGAAATCTTTCCCTTAAAAACTCGTCCCCTTTCGCTGCACGTCTAAAATCTAATTATAAACGGCATGTTATATGTGTAACGCCGCGCGCTTTATTAAACGATGGCGCATACATATAAAGCGCGCATGATGAAGAGAAATTTCACAGCAAACTGATGCATATTTGTGGGACGTTGGATTGCCCCGGCTATAGGATATATCGGGCAGCCTTCCGTTGTCCTTTTTGTTAACCGGTGATTCCATTAAAGCCCATCAAAACGCCTATGTTTGTCCTCATTTGCATCGGACCGCGAGTCGACAATACACAATTCTAATTCACTGCGCTGTCCGTCGCCGTGTAACGACATTATCGGGCGCCGCCTCCGCGCCTTCCCCGCCCGGCATAATTTCCATGTTGCACCTCTGTGTTCGCCGCGCTTCTGCATTGACGTTCCATCTATTCCTTTCCAGATATGGTTGGTATGCTTTGGAATATTACCTATTCGGAATATTACCTCCATATGACCTATTTACACGCGCCAAAGGCTCTTTCGAAGAGGGTTGCTGGGGATCGGGGGAAGGTGAAGGATACGCGTCGCGGTATACAAAGATGCCAAGATTCAGAAGTTATTTTACGCAGGTATCCTAAGAAATAAAATTCTTTACCTGCCGGCTCAACACCGTCCTTATGCATTTTAAATGTCAATTCGCGTACTGCCCCCGCGTCGACGTCGGTCCCGCTTAACGTCAGGACGTCATACAAGATTCAGGTTGTCCGAGCCCGTTGCATAAGAATCGTTCATTTTCCCGTGCGGAGTTACGTATGCCCAAAGAGAAGCCCCGGGAATCGGTTTCAAGCTGCGGGAGCTTAAACTTTAAGGCGACTGAAATTGTAGCGCAAACATTCGACGAAGGTTGCACTCTGTCTCTTGGAAAATGGATTTCTCCATATTCTTATTTCGACACGCGTCGTCGTGAGTCACTTTCTGTGTTTGTTTATCGTCTCGCACAGCAGTGGAGGTTTATCGCTGTTGAACAATTGGATTTCTCTTCTGAATATATAATATATCGGGACTGATAAATTATTAAATAATGCAATACCGAGTGCTTTTGGAAGTAAAGCGTGTCTTAGTTCGACAGGTACGCATAAAAGCAAAAAATAGATCTATATTACATACGTGCTTGAAGATTCGAAAAACATGAAAAGATGAATCATGCAAATAATTTTCATATTAGACTTATTGAAAATTAATTGATATTATTAAAAATATCTTAATGTAATAAAATAAATATCGAAAATTATCCATCGTGAAATTAAGATCAATATAATCGAGATTATTTGAAGAACAATATAATAAATTTTCAGTAATAAAACACATGTTCAATTTTTTAAATAATTCTATGGTAATTTTTGTTGTTTCTAAAAAACTTTTACATTGTTTTATTCAATTCAATTACGCCAGTCGACTTGGTACCATATTTTCTTTTTCAAGACGATATCTCCAGACGTTTTCTGTATTTCGTCAGAAATCGTTGCGAGAAATTTTCTCGATTTCGTGTGAAAGAAATAGCGAAGGTCGTTTACCTTTTTGATCCAGCTTTTCCAGAGGTCTCGATCCCAGGGATGATGGAAGCCCAGATACAGATGCCTGGTTTCACGATGGTGACTCTCTTCGGGGTGTTGGCTCACATGGCACTGTTGAGTGACCCTGGGAAACCCAGTGACACGCAAAACGAGTTTGCCCAGACGTGACGGCGCATAGCATACCGCGCCACCTCCGCCGCCCAGTTCCATCCATTCTGCTCGCGATTCCGGACAAGCTGGGGAGGAAAACGCGTTTGTCTCGTTATTTATCAGCCCTTTGATAAATTGGGAGTACGTACGATCGCGGGCTGCGGTGATACTGACATGGAGAAACGTCGCGGAGAGGGGCAATGAAAAGGGCAAAATAGAATATGTTCACGAATAGCAATAGAAAAAAAATGTAAACCAAATGGAATCTTCATTCTTTAATCACTTGAAGAGAATTTTATATAATTCCAATTCGCGTCGTAGCTTCTCAATTCAATTGCTTGTAACTGAAAAACTGTCGGCGCTCGATTGACATCAAAGCGACCATCATTTCTCTTCGTATGTTGACCGGTTGACAGAAGCAACAATTTTTGACATGTCGAGTGCGCGATACCGTCCTTCCGCTTGTAAGTACTTTAGGCACGTTTGCAGCACGTTGACGCGTATCGATGTGAAGGCTTTAACGCTTCGAATTTCAAATTCTACGTGCTCGACACGTTTTAGGCACGCCGACGTGGCGGAGGGACGACTCCATTTCTTGCCCCCGCAAGAGAGAGACAGAGAGAGGGAGAGAGAGACTAACGGCGGAGTCTAATTACGTTGAGCTACGCCGAGAATGCCGGACGGTCATTGATATTCCGATGACGGCCGGTTACATTCCACGGCGTCGGCTTTCAGGGAACATCCATCACCGACCGGTACGGTCTCTCGCAGATACAAACGCCATCGGGGTATTATCGAATTTTTGCCCCCTCTCTCTCTCTCTCTCTCTCGGAGAAAAACAGCGCCAGACGCTTCCGGCGATCCGATACAAAATTTATCCGGCGCGATGGAACGCGAAATACCGGAGAGGCGACGCGCTGTGAGCTGTCTATAAACGAACAGATGCTTACACGATCATGGAATTAGCGCTTCTGATGGAGAATCCCGTTCTGGAATCTTAAGAGGCGTGCTCTCGCGCATACGTTTAAATTAATGAATTTTTCAAATATATACATTGAAGTAATTCTGTTTCTCAGACGTATTAAATTACGAGATTCTTGGATCCTCTAATCTGTAAGCCACGAATCTTGCAAGTTACGTTTGATGAATAAAGATATTTATCTCTTTTTTAAATATTACTATATCGTAACTACTATTATTTATATTACTACTTTTATATTACTACTTATTTTATGTCACTACTAATAGCAAGTTAGCTAAAACGGATGATTTTACAGCGGAGCTTTATAATACACAGATCATCTTTCCTCTTTCGCAGTTCCTCGCTGACGAGGAGACGAGACTAAAGGACCAAGTCTCATCTCTACGTAATCCTTATCCTCAGCTCATGCAAACATGCGTCCTCATGTTCGGTATCTTGTGTATATGCAAATGCAACGACCGTCGTTCAAATCCGAATAATTCACTCTGAATGATATTGGAGTAAAAGCGCGATAGATTTTTAAACGATTTTCAGTTATTCAGTTGGGAATTAAAAATGTAACGCAATATTCAATACCAATTCCAAGTGAAATGCAGTGCGCGAGAACGATTGTGTTTTCCCATTGTTCTTGAATTGCGGTGCCAAGCGTTGGAAAATAGTTGAGGCTGGCAATACTTTGTTTCAGTTGTTAAGCGATACGGCGCACGCGGTTGGCATCGTTTCCCGATGAGACTGCCGCGCCGCTGTACCTACAACTAATTTCCGGGCTGGCTCCAAAACTAAACGCCCCGGGAAGTTCTTGCTAGTAGCTCATTAAGTTAGATTCTAACAAGTTTAACGTATTTTGCTAACTTTATGTAGGACGAATAGAATGAACACTTAAAAAAGACAAATTGAGTACGAGTTTCATTCTTACGAGCACATAAAGCCAGACTTTTTTTTTATATTTTTTAATATTGAAAAGCTTTGAATATTAATTTTTAAATAGAATATTATGTAGAAAAATCAAATCTTTTTCAGAAAATTGAAATATCTAAAAATTTTTATATTATTAAACTTAAAAATATTTAAATATTTCTGCAAAAAGAAATTCGCGGTTAATAATAATCAAAGATTGGAGGATTTTATGGAACTATCTAAGATATGCGAACAACCTCTGTGTATTTGAAATTTTAGAATTCTTCAGACTATACTAAACCACAGATATCGAAGGAAGAGGATCGTTAAATCCACAACGTGAGGTCAACGGTATCAAGGGTAGAGCCGTTTACCTATATGTGGCAGAGAAATCGCCGAATATTCATTTCCGAATCGTAGGATTTCAAGCAATTCCTAATTGAAGCCCAGAGGTAGCCACAGCTTAAATCAGCAAATGCCGGCGAGGCTGGTCAGTTTCTGGAATAGCCGCCATTCTGCGTCCATGCTAGATTGTGGTTCCATTTGCAAGATACGTATCGAGCAGTGGGCAATTTCCTAACAGCGATGCATAGGGTGTATACAAAGTATACCGGCGCATTCTCGTGAAATCGGGCGCCTGTTACGGTAAATTAAACGCTATCGGATCTCGGAAAAATAGAATAAAAATCTTGAAAACGTTTCAAAACGTTATTAATGTTTTCTGGGCACTCTTTGGATACTCAAATTGTCCAAAGATGAATGAAATATGAATCTATAGATAATTATATTACTGAAAAAAATTTTACTCAAGATTTAATTTGATATACAGTCAAACCTCGGTAATTCAAGGGAAGGGTTATAAAAATCTTCGAGTTGTAGAGATCTCGACTTATCGAAGTTTGAGTAAAAGAGAGCTAACATATGAAAATTTGACTTACGGAAGCTTCGCACGAGAGTTTATAATTTTCCGATTATAATGACTTTTAAAGAAAAAAATTCGAATAGTTTTCGAGTTATCGTTCGACTGTATATACAATTGTAGGTATACAGTTATTAGAAAATATTGAGAAAATATATCATATGTTAGTTCAGTATAGAGAAGCGGTATGATGGGAAAACACTTTCGGATGCGTGACCGGGCACGCAAGTACCGAGATCAGGATCGTCATGCCGCGAAGAGGACAATGCGGATGTTCTGCCTCCCGTCACGTTTGCCGAATACGAATCTCCGAACGATGACCAAGAAGTAACGATCGAGAAGTCCGACGGCGGAGAGAGATCTCGTCCCGGGGAAGTTGTTCGCTGTTGATTCAGCATGGGTCCGCGATGGCGAACACCTGTTACCACCGCTATCTCCGAGTTTAATCAAAGCCCGGTTCCCGTAGGAGCGGCTATACGAGCGCGCGCGCGCGCGGCTCTCTCTAACTGACGTGATGCCGCGGGACGACCGGGTTTAGCGCGTCGTTGGGCGCTTATGGGACACGCTCGTTAAAATCGACTGCCGGCCGCCAGCGGCCGTCCGGCGATATTCGGGTCACCCTTGGAACGCCATTTAACGTACGCCGTACGGGCGCTATACACAGGTTCCTATACCGCATATTGTACGATCGAATATTGATATAAGAACCGTAAAAGTAGATTGTAGTTGGGATAAGAACTAATTTGATTGCACTGTTTCTCGAAATCAAATATTTCTCGCTACGGCATGCCTTCTACTACGAAATGCATCTGCAAAAGACACGCGAAACGATCGAAACTCGGAAGTGAAACATGCAATTTACATTAGAATATTAAGTCTCTCAAATTATAATATCAAGTAACATGCAATACAAAGAAAGCTATACAATTTTTACATCAAAATTTCATATTTTAAAATTTATCACCAGAGAAAGGAGAAGAAAAAAGTGATAATTTATAATGTTAAAGAGGAAAAAAATTTGAAATGTTCTCTCTTTCAATCCCTTTCGCACTAGATTGCTAATTGCTTTCGTCGCACAATCGTGTATCTTATAATACTAATTTATATACCACAAAAACAACTTTAATATCGAAGAAACGGTTTCTAGTTGGAGAAAACCGCATGGATGGTTGAAACTGCGATACATCTAATTGGGCTAATATTGTGAAGCAATATTGTTTTTAGAAAGAACGTGTATAAATAAATGTAAAAAGTGTTCGAATAAATGCTACGTTATATAAATACAAATAATACGATTCCTTAATTAATTTCTTTGTTTATTAGAAAATTTTAGAAAAAACATTTAGTTTAGGTATGAGAAGATCAAAATTTAGAGTAAAAATTTTAGTTCTGGAATACGCGATGAAAATTTTAACGCGACGGGCATCACAAACGACGCGATATACGCTGCTCACGGCGTTGTCAATTCACCGTTAAATAATTCCACCCATTTTCGGCGTTATATACAAACACGTCGACGTGAAATATCGATCGCCTAATTTTTCGGTAACTTGAACGACGCGCGCCGGCCGGTTCAAATAAAACGCGTAAAATCGCGGGGTCGAAATTCCACAGGCGTTTCCGACCGGACGAAACACGCCATCGTTAATTCCGAAGGAGTAATGAAAGGTTGCTGGCCCATCTTGTCATTGACTTCGCGCACCGAACACATTTATGGCTTAGAAAATGTCGAATGTGTCCGAGTGTGCTTCGCAAGGGAGACGATTCAATTCCGGTCACGTTCGACAAAGTCGCGTCCGACTTCGTTGTAATTTGGCAGAAATATCTGAATCAACGGGTCTTCGTAGGGGTGGATGCGTGCAAATTATGAAACGTTACATAATCTGAAATTTCTAACAAGATACGATTCAATTTCTATCTTGTATGAAAGTGTACACAGAATATTTTGAAATAGAAACTCGATATGTAAACGCATATTTCTCGATCAATTAAATAACTGCAAATTTATTAGGCAAACGAGAATAGACAGTATCTTCTGTTTGTAAAAAAATTAATTCAATTTTTATCTTGTTCAAAGATACACATGAATTTTTTTGAGATAATAATTCGATATTTAAACGCGTATTTTTCGACCAATTAAATGGGTTCGTTAAACGTATTTATTAGGCGAGCAAGAGTAGAATATATTCTATTTAGAATAAAAAAATTCTATCAATACTCCATCTATTTCAATTGGATATATTACTTATCCGTGCTGTAAATACAGTTCTTGTTACGCGAGCAATGCCATTTTTCTTTCGCGCGATAGCGACGCGCCGTATCTGAATGTTCGGCGACGTAATTGCACGTCAGGACGATAAATCCTTTCGGCTGAAGAAATTCTTGATCCACGGCACGCATCCTGTTCGGTGACAGGATCGTTCTAACAGAAGGATAAGGGACGGACGTAGATAAATCATGATGTTTCGGGTGTCCGGAAGGAAGGGAAAGATATCTGTAAAGCAGATCTCGTAATATTTTCCTTCTCGACAACTTTGTCTTTTCCAAGGATTGCTGCTTGGATTTACGATTATTCTACATAAATACAGCTTGATAATTTTATGAAAGGACTCAATACATTAACACGCGTTAATTTTAAATCGAATTGTAGATAAATATCACCTCAATTATCAATCGTTTAATATATTTAATATATTATAATTTTTTGAATTTAAACTTTTAACAAAATTTTTAATTTGTTTCTCAATTTATTTCTAAAAGAATTTAGTTCGTTAAAAAGAATTTAAGTCTGAATTTTCAAATCAATAACTGGCACAGCAGTTTTTAAAAATATATCTTTGTTTTCTCGAAAAAATCTAGAAAACATTTCTTTTATTAAAGAATTACATTTCAACGCATAAAATTCAGTTCTCGTACATCGAACGCTAATTTCACGAATCCTTTTTTGGATTTTACGAATCACGGGAAAAAGGAGACAGATACTATCGGATGATTCCTAATGTCTCTGACGGACGCTTAGGGGTTGTTTTCCCACCGCAGGTTTCGCTTTGTTTCCAGCTAGGGCTGCCATCCGTCCGGATTTCCCCGGATTTGTCCTAGTTTTGAAGACGTCCGGGGGCGTCCGGGCGGGTTTTTGAAGCGGTCCGGGTTTTTTTATTACTCGTATTATTAAATAATAGCTGCGCAAACGTCGTTGTAAATGTCGTAATTGAACTCCTACCTCCCGGCT